GCAGAGCTATAACCCTAGAGGGCCCACCCCCAGAGATCTGCCTCTGACAGACAAGCCTCAGACTAGAACCTTCCACAATAACACCACCAGCTGAAGACCAAGAGTTCAAACACATGAGGGCTTGCAAGATGGCTCAGCAGAAAAGGTGCTTGCTGCCAAAACTGATGACCTAAGTTCAATTCCCTAGACACACGCAGTGGAAGGAAGGACCCAATTCCTGACTGTGTGGCATGCATACACAGAATGAGAGAGAAAGAGAGAGAGAGAGAGAGAGAGAGAGAGACAGAGACAGAGAGAGAGACAGAGAGAGAGACAGAGAGAGAGACAGAGAGAGAGAGAATAAATGTTTAAAAATTAAAGAAGCAAAGAAGTACCAAACTGGGCTGGAGTGATGGCTCTGCATTAAGAGCACTGACTGCTTTTCCAGAGGACCTGGTTTGGTTCCCAGCACCCACATGGCAGATAACAACTGTCTATAACTCCAGTTCCAGGCTTCTGGCCTCTGTGGGCACTAGACATGCCATGGATGCATTTACATACATGCAGGCAATACACTCATACACATAAAATAAAAATAATAAATAAAAAATTTTTTCATATCTTTAAAAAATCAAAGAAGCAAACGAGTTCAAACACATAAGCCTATGAGAGGCATTTCATATTCAATCAAGAACACAGAGGCATGATGGCCTCCTATGTTGGGTGAATGATAATGAAATATATTTTTTATTTTTTAGGTTTTTGAGGCCTCAAACTTGCTATGCAGTTGAGTATGGCCTTGAACTTACGATCCTTCTGCCTTCACTTCCTGAGTGCTGGGTATGTACCACCATGCCAAGTTTATAAGTGCTGGGGATGGAACCTGGGGCCTCGTAGCAAGTAAGGCAGGTATTCTACCAACCGAGCCACATCCTCAGCCCCTAAAACATTTCTTTTAAATCTGACTCTAGGGGCTGGAGAGATGGCTTAGCAGTTAAGAACACTGGTTGTTCTTGCAGAAGACCTAGGTTCAAATCCCAGCACCCACATGGCACCTAACAACTGTCCATAACTCCAGTTCCGGGGGATCTGACAGCCTCTTCTGTCCTCCACGGGCATTGCACGACACGAGTGCACTTACCTACATGCAGGCAATACACACATACACATAAAATAAAAATAATAAATAAAAATATTTAAATAACAAATATATTTAAATCTGAATCTAATTCCTCCTCCCCCATGAGAATGGTTCAGGGTCAAAATGAGGAAGTCCCAAGGAGTTAATTAACTGAAGACACACTCTGTCTTCAAAGTAGTCAGAGAATTAACACTAACAATACTAATAGCACCCAGTGTCTTTGGGGTATGGGGAGTCACCTAGCTGAAACTGGACAAGTGAGCTTCACCAAGAGCTGGCAGACAAGCACCCTCAACACATGGACTCTTCCAAGCCTCAGATAAGTCAGCAAGAACAAAGGAGCCCACATCACTCCACTCTCAATGTCCCTTGGTTCCACCCCTGTGGGTCACCTGCCTGGGATCCTGTAGTAGATGAGGCAAGGACAATTCAGACACAGCCCCACCAGCCACATCTGTCCCCATCAGTCTCATCTCAAAATGGGAGTAGCTACTGCCCCCTTGAGGAGGCACTGAGCACCCCAGAGCAGAAACCAACACTGGCTGAGAGTGAGGTGGAGTGATCAGGAGCCTCAGTCCTGGACACAGACCCTCCCAGCTGTCCCCCTCCCCTGCCTTTCTGCAGGAGGACCCAGGAAGATACACCAAAAGCCATTCAGTGCCTGATGCACCAACCCTCATCACAGTGTTAACCGGCAGGCCCTCCAACCCACCAGCACCACTGGGCTCACTGTGATTTTAACCTTCCAGTCTCTAGGATGATGCAGCTTCAATGCTGTGCTCTGTTCCTTACAGAATTACAGTGACACCAGTAATTAGAAACTTGCAGGCAGATCCCATCAGATCCACTCTGACACTCAGGACACTGGGCAGGTGCTAACAATATTAAACTGATCTTATGTGACAGTCTCCTGGGGAAAGGAGTACACAGACTGGGACTGAAGGGCTCCATCTGTGTGGCTATGGGGCTATGTGCATGTGATGAATTCGCATGGGTACCTGTCCTAGTCAGCTTTAACTGTCAGCTTAACATAGTCTAGAGTTATCTGGGAAGGGAATCTCAATGAGGGATTTCCCAGATAAGATTGGCCTGTGAACATGTTTGTGGGGGATTGTCTTATTTCTGAGGGCCCAACCACTATGGGTGGCACCATTCCCTAGGCAAGTGGTCCTGAGCTGTATAACAAAGCTAGCAAAGGGGTTGGAGAGATGCCTCAGTGGTCAAGAGTGTTTGCTGCTCTTGTAGAAGACCTGAATTCAGTTCCCAGCACCCACACTGGGTGGCTCACAACAGCCTGTAACTCAAGCTCTAGGGGATCTGGTGCCCTCTTCTGGCCTCATGGGCAATTATATGGTATACACACACACACACACACACACACACACACAAATAAATAAATAAATAAATAAATAAATAAATAAATAGCAAGGGAGCCAACAAACAAATACAAATAAAAAAGCATCTTCCATGGTTTCTACTGTACTTCTTTGGCTGTGAAGTGAGTTCCCTGGTCGAGCTAATGCTGTGTGGAACAGCAGGCAGTCCTGCCTTCACATTCCTGCCTTGAGTTCCTGCCCTGACTCTCCTCAGTGATGGACTGTGACCTGGAATTGTAAGATGAAATAAACCCTTTCTTCCCCTAAGCAGCTTTTGGTCACGGTTTTTGTGGTGATTTGAATGAGAAGGTCCCCCGCAGTCTCCAAGTATTTGAACAGTTGGTCCCCAGTTCATGGGCTTTGGGAAGGTTTCGTGGAACCTTTAGGAGGTATTGCTGTGATGAAGGAAGCACATCACTGGGGTGGGCTTTGAGACTATATAGCCTTGCCCATTTCTGGTGTGGTTCTCTCTGCTTCCTGTGCTGCTTGAAGATGTGAGCTCTCAGCTTTCTGCTCCAGCTGCTCCCATCATGATGGACTCTTATCCCTTTGGAACCATAAGCCAATAAACTCTTCCTTCCGTAAGTTGCCTTGATCAGGGTGTATTATCACAACAACAGAAAAAGCAACATAGTGTTTAATCACAAGCACAGAATGAGAATTCTCCTGTCCCTACCTCCCAAGTCACCATGGGAACACTAAGATTGCAAACACTACTGAGTCTGGCTTTCACATGGATTCTGGGATTTGAACTCAGGTTCTCACACTTCTATGGCAAGGGCCTTACTCACTCAACCATAGCTCCAAGTGAAAAATAGATTTTTAAGTATCAAACCTTTGATCTGCACTGAAGAAATTATCTCCAAGGAATGTGTAAGAATTCAAAGATGACCATGTCAGAGAGGAAGTAGTAACCAAGTTGTTGCTTCTGATATAAAAATGCAAGTCATGGTGGGGAGGTGGCTGAGCAGCAGCAACACTATAGGAACTGGCAACTTAAAAGAAAAAGACTAAAAACTCATTACTGACAGAGGAAAATGTTCAGAACACTGGACATGTGACAAGGAGCACACAGAATGAGCTGCTATGCTGTGAAAAGTACCAGGTTAGGGACTGTGTGTGAATTCAGTTCTAAGGATGTCCCCAGATACTTCCCAACTCTGAAGGGGTCAGATGACAGCAGACACCTTTAGTTTCAGCCTTATCAAAATTCTCCAATTTTTTTTTGGTTTGTTTGTATATGTAAATGTGTATGTATGTGCATATGTGTTCAAACACATGCAGACATTTCAAAAATTTGAAACGATTATGGCTCCACAATAGAGTGCTTACCCAGAAATTCCCAGTGAGGGGCTGAGGGTGTGGCTCAGTGGTAGAGCACCTGCCTAGAGTCTCCCAGTGAGGGGCTAGGGTGTGACTCAGTGGTAGAGCACCTGCCTAGACTCTCCCAGTGAGGGGCTGGGGTGTGGCTCAGTGGTAGAGCACCTGCCTAGACTCTCCCAGTGAGAGGCTGGGGGTGTGGCTCAGTGGTAGGGCCCCTGCCTAGACTCTCCCAGTGAGAGGCTGGGGGTGTGGCTCAGTGGTAGGGCCCCTGCCTAGAATCCCCCAGTGAGGGGCTAGGGATGTGGCTCAGTGGTAGAGCACCTGCCTAGAATCCCCCAGTGAGGGGTTGAGGGCCTGGCTCAGGTGTTTGTATGCATGTGGAAGTCCAAAGTTGAATCAGGCGTCTTCATCCATTGCTCTCCACTCTATTTCAGAGCATGGACTCTCCCTGAACCCAGAGCCCATTAATTAGCTGGTCAAATTAAGACAGTTTGCTCCAGGAATCCTGTGTCTGCCTCCTGAGCACTGTGATCAAAGGTGGGCTGCCATACGTGCCTGCTTTTAGATGGGTGCTGGGATCCAAATTCTAATCCTAACCATTGCACAGCAAGTGTTTTATCCAAGCCATCTCCCAAGCCCCCATTTTTGTTTTTTGAGGGCATTTCTTGCCTATGTAGACCTAGCTGGCCTTGAACTGGCAGTAACCTTCCTGCCTTAGCCTCCTGAATGCTAGATTACAATCGAACCCCACCACACTTTTGATTTTTTTTTCAATTATTTATGTGATGACTTCCCAAGCACAGTATTAAATTCCTTCCCAACTCACAGGTTCCTCTCTATATAATAACCACTTTCTGCTCGCCCTGCTTTTCTGTCTGCTTCAGAGAGCGCAAAGCAGGCCCTGGCATATGGAAGACACTGGAACATTCAGCCCATGTGATCAGAGCAAAAACAGGTACCACTGTGTCTTTCGATTGGATTGAACTTGTGAATGCTGTTCAGCTTCCCCAGGGCCAGGGACACCACTCCTGAGCTGCACCAGGTGCATACACTACTCTGCACTTCCAAACCTACCCCTTCCTCCAGATCCATGATTCCCAGAGTGATTCCTGACCCTAAGACTCCCAACATGTCACCCAAGAAGCCAGGAGGGGTGGTAGGTGCCACCCATACATGTTTACCTCCTCTCATTGTCGTCCAGGTGTGAGAAGAGAACGTTCTTGGAGATGGCTTTGGCCAGCGCCGTCATGGTCTTATAGTCTTTGGGAATGACCTGCAAGGAAGCCAAGGAAATCAGACCTTGAGCATGGAGCTAACAGGCATGTGTGCTAGGGACAGAGCTGATTTCACAGGCTAGGAACTGGGGACCTCATATGGCCTGAAACCCAACTATCCTGCCTCCTACATGGGGCTGGTAGCAGATGATGCTAAAACAGCAGTAAGAAATTTCATGTTCGTTTCACAAGACCTAGCCCAAGCCAGACAAAAACCCAGCATTGTGGTGGGAGGTAGGCAAGAAGCTCCAGCCCTAGCTGAGGAACACAAAGACTTCCCTTATGGTGCAAACACAAAGATTCTTACTAGGTCATGGACAACCCCAGTTGCCTGGACCTAGGGAGGTGTTAAACCCAGAGCCCATGCACACAGCCCTTTGTAAAAACACCTGATAACAAGGACTGAAGTTCAAAGCCACTCTGGTTCTAACAGACTTTAAAAATAAAATAAGCTGGGGCTGGAGAGATGGCTCAGCGGTTAAGAACACTGGTTGTTCTTGCGGAAGACCCGGGTTCAAATCCCAGCACCCACATGGCAGCTAACAACTGTCCATAACTCCAGTTCCAGGGGATCCAATAGCCTCTTCTGTCCTCTGCGGGCATCGCATGACACAGGTGCACTTACCTACATGCAGGCAATACACACATACACATAAAATAAAAATAATAAAAATATTTAAAAATGAAATAAAGTAAGCTTTTTGAGTAACTCATATTCACAGAAGAGCTGTGTACATAGTACCTGCACCAACACTTCTGCCCTTCAGGTTGACATCTTATATAAATGGGCCATATTTGTTTTTGTTTAGATTTATGGTGCCAAGTATGGAACTCAGGGCCTCATGCACATGAGGCAAGTGGTCTTGCTGCTAAACCATGCCCCCAGCCCCTCACTGGAGAAGCCTGGGCAGGTGCTCTACCACTGAGCCATACTCCCAGTCCCTCACTGGGAGATTCTAGGCAGGTGCTCTACCACTGAAACACACACCCCCAAGCCCTCATTGGGGGCTTGACGCCCTAAGCCTTTCACTGAGGATTCTACCGCTCATACATTCTACCACCGAGCCATGCTCTCTGGGGACTTCTAGGCAGATGCTCTACCATTGAACCATGCTCCCAGCCCACTGGAAGACTACTGGATCTAGGATGGACAACAGACTTCTATACTTTAATCTGATTCTAACTTCCTTGGGTGATTTTTTTCCTTCCCCAGAACCCTGTTGAGTGACGTTTAGTGTCCTACCATCTTGGTCTCCTTTGGTCTATGATATTTCTCATGGTTTCCTGCCTTTGATAGTCTTGGAATTGTCCTCCGTGTGGTCACTCTCTGCACATGGCTCCTGACTTTGGGTCTGTCTGAGGTTTTTACTCATTTAAACTGCAGCTCTGGATATGGGTGGAAGACCATGGAGGGAAAGTGTCCTTAGGGGTTTGAGGGTGTTTGATTGTTTGTTTTGGTCTTGCCAGGTTGGCCTTGATCACAGGCATGTATCCCCACATCTGGCAGCTTCCCAAGGTATTTTGTCATAGCGGTTTTAGTTTTTCTCATCCACTCATACAGTATTAAGTACTGAGCAGTTGATGAGGTGGGGAGGTGTTTAGAGGGTGCAGTTTCCATTTTCCAAGGTAAATTCTGGAGTCTGATGAGGGAGGGTGGTGGCTGGGCAGTACTGTGAATGAATCAACTCTACCCAACTATACCTAAACACTGCTAAGATAGTGCTATAGGCTGGATGGTGCCTCCCTAATTCCTGTGTGGCCTCCCTAAGCATCCTTGTGGAAGGATTTGCAGATCAGGCATTTGAGGGTGGTTGGGTTGGTGAGATGTGAGGGTGGAGCACAGGACTAATTAATTAGTGCCCTTAATAGAGACCAAAGGGCTGGTGGCAGACGAACTGTAGCACATCTGTCCTGGTGAGCCCTATCCCTCTTCTCCCCAAACCTGTTCAAATCCTAAAGCTACCGCAGAGACCCCACAATAGCCCCATTAAATACACGCTCAGTTCATAATGCCACCCACAACCACGTCTCCCATCCATGTGCCTCCAAGCTCTGGTCAGACAGGAAGCAGAGGGTGATGAGGGTGACGAGGATACGTGCTGGGGTTCTTCACCTTCCTCACGTAGGAGACGGCGTCTTCCTCAGTGTAGACCTCTGCACTCACACCACCCCGCCGGCAGCGTGCCTTTACCACAGGGTTTGGAGGTATTGGTGATATGTCCTCATCATGGGAGTCAGACTGAGAGTTTGATTTCTGCTGGGCCAGGATCTGCCTGTTTTCCTCCTGTGAGAAGAAAGGAGAGTGAGACACAGACTGTCATCTGAGCACAGGTGGTGCAAGCCTGCCATCCCGGCTACTCAGGGGGCTGAGGAAGGAGGATCACAAATTCAACGTCAGCCTAGGCTGCAGAGTGAGAGACTGTGTCAAAATGAAACATCTAAGAGGGTTGGGACATGGTTCAGTGATAGAGCACCTGCCCAGAATTCCCCAGGGAGGGGCTAGGGACATGGATCAGTGGTAGAGCACTTGCTGCTCTTGCAGAAGACCTGGAGTTCAGTTCCCAGAACCTACATTGTGACTAACAACCATCCATAGCTGCAGTTCCAGGAGATTCTATGCCCTCTTCTTGTCTCCATGGGCATCAGTCACACGTGGTACACTTACATACATGCAGGCAAAACACTCATACACATAAAATAATCAAGCAAAATCCCCAAAGCTGTGCTGTGGACATAGTTTAGTGGCAGACCACTTGGTTCGCATGGAACAGGCCCTGTACCCAATATTACCCAAGAAAAAGAAGAGAAAAGAAAAGAAAGCAACTGTCAGAGCAGAGCCTAGCCTGAGAGTGCTATGAATAGGGACAGGAGCTCCAGGATGAGGCAAGTGACTCAGCTCAGTCCACAGCTCCTGGTCACCAACACCCCCAGAGGACCCTCCTCCATCAGGTTTATTGGTGGCTCCCTCTTACAAAGACCTTCACTTCTGGGCCAGCTACATGCTGAGCCCCTCTCCCCACCATCCCTCCAGACAACGGCCCCTCCCCTCTGAGGCCCCGAGCGTCTCCACATTATCTTCCTCCCACTGGGCAACTCTGCCAGTCACCATGCTCGCCCCAGACCTTCTTCCCTTCACTTACCTATTGAGCAATGCTTATTTCTAAACCTATTTCAGGGTGCCCAGTGCCGACTTTCAGATTCTGAGGCCACTGCTGAGCATCTAAGGCCTCATGACAGCCTCTACCCACCCTGTATCCTGGACCTCAGCCCACGCTCAACAGAACGAATCTGTGGAGCCTGTCTCTACTCTAACCACAGGGCTACTTATGGCTCTTGCCCCAGGGCCTTTGCACTTGGTGTTCTGATGACCCCAGCCTTACCATTCTGAGGTCTATGTCCCACCACTTACTTAAGCTGCAGTGTCCTCCTACCAGAAGACAAAACAGTACCAACCTCTTCAAATTCATGTCCACTTCAAACTGTGAATGGAAGCTCAATGGAAACTAGGTTTCTCCAAATTTGAGCAAGGATGGAATGAAACGCAAGATTGTAGGAGATAAGAACAGACCCCAGATGGACAGGGCTGTGTTTATAAAAGCCAGGGAAGGAGATATCGAGACACAGAGGAAGTCATGGAAAGATGGAGGCTACAAGAAAAGTTGTGCCATGGGCCACTAAAGCTGGAAGAGGCAAGAAGGACCCTCCCCAGAGCAGGCAGCCACCAATTCCATCCCTGCTCACAATCCTCCCCTCACCCTCCTGAGTCCTCCCAGCTCTGTGGACAGCCCTGCCCAGAGCCCTCCCAGCACCTCAGATGGCCCCCATCCCAGCATCCACAATCCTGCTCAGCCTAGAGTAGTTTTCCTGGCACAACAGGATGGAAGCACAGGCTTCCCTCTCCTCAAAGAGAACCAGTGACCCTGCAACCTTCAGTGTCAACTCCAGTCTGACAATGGAAAATTCTAGAAATACACAGTTTATAAGTTCTTTACTTTGAGGCTTTTTGTTGTTGTTGCTGCTGCTGTTGCTGCTGCTGCTATTGTTACATTGTTGGCAATGGAATCCAGGGCTTCACACCTGCTAAGTAAGCTCCCTGTCACTGAGCCACACCCCAGCCCCTCACTGGGGGATTCTGGGCAGGTGTTCTAGCACTGAACCACACCCCCAGTCCCTACGGGGGGCGGGGTGTCTAGGCAGGTGTTTCTAGTATGATCCATGCCCCCAACCCTGTGTTTTTTATTTTGAACTGGCAATCCTCCTGCCTCAGCCTCAGGAATAACTAGGGTTACAGGCTTCTCATTCTCCTCCTTTCAACCCCCACATTCACTTCAGCTCTGGGGACACCCCCAACCCCAGCCCTTCCTATACCATCAGTGTGATGGAGTCCTGTACTGTGCTGGAAGCTCAAAGGTCCTCCCTGATGAGTGAAGAGATGGGAGGGGCTCAGGTGGACTCTCTGCCTCCCCCCAGTGCCTTCTAATGACCCCAGAGGGAGCCCACCCAGGCAGAGGCTGAGTCCCTGACTCCAAGACGCCTATCTGCAGGTAGAGTATGGGCTTAGAAGATGACCACAGTACCAGGCCAAGACTGGGCATCTTGCTGTGAATGTGAATCTCAAGTTAGGATTTTAAAACAACAACAAAAATGGTCCTTTCAAACATGAAGACATCTGACCCACTTCAAGTCATCCACCCGTATGAAAACCCAGCAGGTGAGATCACATCGCCCACAAAAGAAAAGCAAAGAGGCCAGTGTGAGACCTCACATGCCCTGGCTTCCTACTGGCTCTGAGGTTTATGGGACCAGGGCCGTCCCATAGGCCTTTGAAAACTGAGGACTGGATCTGGGGATGTGGCTCAGTTGGTAGTGTGCTTGCCCAGCATGCAGAAGACCCTGGGTTCCATCCCCAGCACTGCATAAACTGGATGTGGTGGCACATGCCTGTAATCCCAGCACTCAGGTACAGGAGCAGGAATCAGGAGTTCAAGGCCAGCCTCAGTCATACAAGGAACTAGGCGCTGGCCTGGGATAAATGTGGTCCTGGCAGAGGGGGATGAAGAGAGGGAAGGAAGGGAGGGAGGAAGGGAGGGAGCGAGGGAGGAAGAACAAGCAGAGCTCTGGGCTAGAAAATTCCTAACTGCCAGCTGACCTTAGTCCTGAGGGGTGGGAGTTGGGGACATAGGACAGACATGAGCAGGTACCTGCACAAATGAGGGCGGGTGTCAGCAAGGTCCACCAACACTGTCCCAAACTCCCATTCCTTATCTTTCAAACATGTGACATGTGTCAGGCTGGGGCCACTCCCACCTCCAACAAGCTACCTGCTGCTCTAAGCAAAGGACCAGCACGGCCTGGAGACCAGCCCTGTCATCCATCACGGTACCTTGGCACAGTGACTGGCTGCATCTCATTGCCCACATCTACAGATCCTGAACACCCAGCCAGGAAACCACAAAGGACGTGATAGTTCAATGCAGTTCTACGCAGTTGTTTAAAAATATCTTTTACAGATTTTCCAGCAAGGAGGTGGTAGGCAGGTGGGTGATGGGCCCCTCCTCCCTCCAGACACTCCACTCCAACGATAGTAACATTAAATATGCACATATATAAACCGACACTGCCAGGAGAGAATGGGAGAGATGGTACCAAGAATTTCAAAAGATTCCTGGAAAACGGACAGCCAACTTGGGTGTGGGATCTTGGGCATACGTGCCATTCCTCAGTTTCAGGAAAGGAGTGTAGTGCACAGAGGAACCCCAGGAATCCACCAGAGCTCACAGCAGATCCCAGGTGAGGACGGTCAAAGGTCAACCAAAAACAAAAGCCTGGGCCAGGGGCCCTGTGCCAAACCAGTTCCACATGGCTGCCTGGCTTAGCTTTGGTTATGGAAATTTTCAAGAAAGCACAAAAACAGAATATGACTCACCTAACTCACCTAACACCCAAGCCCAGATCTATCAATGATCAAAGCAGACCCAGTCCGTCCCTCATAGTCTCTCTCTCCTCTCTCTCTCTCTCTCTCTCTCTCTCTCTCTCTCTCTCTCACACACACACACACACACACACACGCACACACACACACTCAGGCCTCCACAGGTCTGAAGCAAATCTTAAATGTCAAATAATTCAATTGCAAATATATCAGGATTTGTCACTAATAGATGACTCTTAGAAAACAACCACGGGGGCTCAGGTCCACCTCAGGAAGTAACTCTTCCCTCTGCACTGCAAAACCAAAATGAACGGACAAGGCACTTACAATACCCACTAACGTCCTAAAAATAGTGCTGGCAAGATGGCTCATCAGGCCAGAAGGCTCATCCGATCATCAAGGCTTGCAGCCAAGTCTGATGACTGAGTCCAATCCCTGGGACCCACATGGTAGAAGGCAAGAACTCACTCCTACAAGTTGTCTTCTGACCTCCACTGGTGCCATGACATGCACACACAAAGACAAATAAATAAATGCATTTTTTTTAATTCCTAAAGATTATTTATTCCAAGAGCTGGAGGGATGACTCAATGTTTTAGAGCACGTACTGGTCTCACAGAGGAGCGGGGTTCTGTTCCTAGCACCCAGTTCATAATTGCCTGGAACTCTTAACTCCAGGGAATCCAACACCCTCTCCCGGCTTCCACAGGCACCTGCAGGCACACGGTGCACATAAACTCATGCAAGGTCACACACACATAAATATACAAGGTTGTTATTTATTTCCTATGATCATCAAACATCCAGCCAGTGTTGAGACTCTTCTGTCTCCATTTGTAAGGTGGGTTTTTATTTATTGTTTGTTTGGGGATTTTTAAAAGTCAAAAAATTAATACTATTACCAATTCTTAGTTGTAAACAGATGAAGTGACATTGAAGACAATACTCAATACAAAAACAAAGACCAAGATAAACAAAACATTGTTTTATTTATTAAACAATGGAATTATATTAGAGGAAATAAGAACGCAGGCTGAGGAGAGAGCTCAGAAGGCAAGAGCACTTGTTGCTCAAGCACGAGATCATGAATTTGAACCCACAGCACCCACATAAAAAGCTGGGTGTGGCCACACACACAACCTGTAACCTCAGCGCCGAGGTTGGGGAGGAGGGGGTTGTGGACACAGGAGAATGGCTTGCTGGCTGCCAGCCTGGCTCCAGGCTCAGTGAGAGACCCTGTCTAAGGGACTAAGGCAGGCAGTGATAGAGCAGGACACTGACGTCCTCCTCTGGCCACTGCACACACACATGCACAGGTGCACATACAAACAAGAAAGAAAGAAAAGGAAATG